GTAAAACTATGTTGAACAAAAGCTGATTAGAATTTGACATGGAATCATTTTTAATCTAAAAATGTTTCCAACATATATTTCTGTTTTTAAATGGTACATGGACTGATTCTTATGTAGCGCTTTTCTACTCTCCCAGAGCACTCAAAGCACTCTATACAACATGCCACATTCACCCAATCACACCAATGCTCACAAGCACTGTCTCTATACTTAGTGCTTTCTAACTACTTGTGATACAGTGTCTGAAAGCTACCAGCAAAGATCAAAACTGTTTTATTGTACCAGGCTGTAAACGGGACTGTATGGGCAATTGTCTCAGAATTTAAAACTAGCCTCAAGTGCTGATTAGAGGAAATGCAGTTTCTGTTTTCACCTGTGAAAATTATGACTTGAAATCCAGCTAATAAACAAAAAATGTCAACTTTTGTTTTGGCAGCTACATGACAACCAGTTGAGTAGTTTACCCAGTGCTTTGGGAGAACTGCAGAATCTTCAACAGCTGCGACTCAGGTACACACACACACACACACACACACTCACACACACCATAAGTCCATAATCCTAATGGAAAAGAGAAATCTGAAAAAGTTTGTGCACACTCATAATACTCCAATAAAATATCTTATGTTACAATACTGTGCAACAGCCACCCCAGTTTGTTTACATTTTGCCAGGAAAATAGATGTAGCGGTTTTATTGAAATGTGCAGATACACATGGAAATACAGTATGTAAGGAGTAATGTGTTTGAAAGTCAGTATGTGGTATGACCACCTTTTATTTTACAGCCCAGCCTGAACTCTGGTACTCAACCACAGTCTGGACTATGGTTCAGTGGGTTAGCGCAAAAGCAATCTCCCTGTAGAGTGTGTTTGTGGCTGGAGGCCGTGTACAGACTGTGCAGTATACCCGGTCTGCTGGCCAGTCTTGTGTCCACCGGAACCACAGAGGGAGTTTGTAATCGGTTCTGTTAGTTTGTCCACAGTCCAGTTTCCAAGATGTCAGCTTCAAATTCTCTGTGATGGTCGATAACAGCTCAAGCTCATTTAGTTTTGATGAAAATCAGGTTTGGTTGCACCAAATATGAAAATCAGTAAAAACTTTCATTACCCACAATTAGTTATGTATTGTTTTCAAACTTCACAGTAGCAGACTAGGCCTTGGGTAACATGAATACTTAGGTTGGCTAAGGCGAACTAAAAAACATTTAAAGAAACCATATCAAGTCATATGTCGTGTCAAAGTGCAGGAAAGAGCTGTACACTTTATTTTTTCAAGATGTCACAAAAGATCTAAAACTCTCAAGTTTGTACAGCTTATGGAAGCCAAAGATTTCAGCCACGTCTGCTTCAATCATATGGATAAAGCTAAAACACACCATTTTATGATGTAATCCTTCAAGGTCAAAGGTCAAAGTCACACGAGTTAAGAAAAAGCTTTAGTTTCTGTTTGATCAACTCCAAACTTCAAAACAATATATTAGTCATTGGAGAACAAAACCTAGTTTTCTTTGTTTGAGCTCTTTAATGTTTAGTTCAACTCTTCATCATCATACGTACAACAGTACAAAAGAGAGACGAGCAAAACAGAAAATGAAGACTAAATACAGAATTTGCTGGAGCTATCAGTCATTTTAGTAATAGAGTGTCCTATTGATTATTCCACCAGTTCACTGCATAAGAAATACTTGTGCCTTATTAATGAGCAATAATAAATATTCAAAAGAGAAGACACTGCAGGTCTTTCATAAATGAGGTCTTCATTGATTTCTATTTTAGAAATTGCAGTACTTTAATAATTTAAGTGCATTAAACAGCTGTCAAAAAACAAATGATGTATTTACATGCATTTAAGTGTGCAAGTGAAAGAGAGGGCTTGTGTCTGCAGTCCTTTAAGAAGCATGCGGTGGCTGCAGTGAAGAAAAGTGGGAATATCATTCTTAAGTTGGCAATAACTAGTGATCTGTTGTGTTTTTGTTCTGTGTGGCCAGTCATAATCAGTTAGACTCTCTGCCAGTTGAGATGTGTACTCTAAAGAACCTCCGTAGCCTCACACTGCAGCAGAATCTGCTGGAGAACCTGCCAGAGGATCTGGGACAGCTCGCGAACCTCACAGAGCTGGTAACTAATGCATAATGCATGCACTCTAGTGTGTCTTCCTCTCTCTGCTGTATTGGAAATGCATTGATAATCCATTTATTTCCCAATTAAAACAAAGTGGAATGAAAGACTGAAATGGAATGATGGTCAATTTCTGTCCATCCTGTTGAACGATTAAAGGACGCGTCCAGCAACCAGCTGAAGAGCCTGCCCTCCAGTTTCGGGTGTCTCGTCAGTTTACAGAAAGTGAACCTGTGTCACAACCAGCTTAGCGGGCTCCCAGACAGCCTAGCCCGGCTCACAAGTAAGAGTTGCAGAAGTGCTTACAAATAAGTTGTGAACGAGAAAGCGTTTGTTCCGGCGTAACAAATTATTCCATCCATTTATTTTCTTCAAAAGCAGCTCGCAGGTTGGCGACCACACTAGGGCTGCCACAAACGATTATTTTGATAGTCGACTAGTCACCGATTATTTTTGCGATTAGTCGACTAATCAGATCATCATCCATTGGACGTACAGCTTATTGCACCAGCAGCATCTGGTCTTATATAACTATCATTAGCTTACAGCTTGAAGTGTTTGTGCTAACTAAAAATAAAGACAAGATGGTAATTTATTAATTTTTAATGAAATTTGCAGATTGTTTCGGTGAAGTTTAATAAACTCCTTGCTTTCTAAAATATAACAGGACACCGGAGTATATTCTCCAGCGTCTCACACTTCTGATAATCAGCTGTCTGCTTGACAGTTTTAGCTGTGCAAAAACTATAACTTTAATCTCAGCCAAACCGATTTACTCAGGAACAAATAAAATACTAAAGAAAGCCAAACAATAAAATTTTTAAGTTATCTAAGTGACTTATATATATGTTTAACCTGACTAGCGAAAGACGGCGGTGGGTTTGAAAACGATTTGCCAGGAGTCCGGTGTTCTCACGGCTCTAGTTAGCCTTGCCCCCGCCTAGCTAACGAGCTAGTGGGTAACAGACGTCTCCGAAAACGTCGGAGCGCTTTTGAAAATATGTGGTGTCTTGATAAACTGAGCAGATATTTGAGGTTTACACAGCTACATTCTCGCCTGAAAATATGTTAAACGTTTATTTTGTGACCCAGAAAGAATAATAAGAGTAAAGTTAAAACTAACTAGCTGCCGCCATTGTTGACAACTGCGCTGGGCTGCGCTATGAATTCTGGGACACAGCTTCTTCTTCTTCGGGGTTTAACGGCAGCTGGCATCCTTGTACATGCAGTGCTGCCATCTTCTGTTTCAGTCCGTTATTACACTCTTAAATCCTACTACTCATTCCTGCGTCCTTTGTGATCTTACAAAGCTTCAAACGATGCGTCGACTATTAAATTAGTCGTCGACGATTTTAATAGTCGACATAATCGTGACTAGTCGACTAATCGTGGCAGCCCTAGACCACACCGAATAGATGTTTGCAATAATGCAATAATATAGATTTGACATAAAATATGCACTAAAGTATAAACATCTATGTATGCATATGACCACAGCCTTATAATTAATAGTCTGATAGACATCAAGATGACCAGAAACAGACGAGGATCAGGAGAAAAAACAGCCACCGGTGACAAATGTATTTGTGGTTTGAGGAGAAACGGTAGAGAACTGGGCAGGTGTTTTGTTTAGTGAAGGACCATAGCTATTGTTAGCTAATGTTGTTTTATTGAATAATAACATAACTCTGTGCATATTCAGATATAACAGAATTGATTTTGTTTACTGTTGGAGAATTGGTGCTTATCTAAAAGATGAGGATCAGCTGCTGTGCTGGAGCCTACCCCAGCTGTCTTAGGGCGAGAGGCAGGGTACACCCTGGACAGGTCGCCAGTCTGTCGCAGGCACAACCATTAGCGCTCACATTCACTCCCGCATTCCCACCTATGGGCAATTTAGTGTTTCCAATTAACCCATCCCCACAAACTATTAACTATTATAGCAACTCGTTTAAAGTTAATATTAAAAGCGTATATGTACAGGACAGTTTGCGTTTTTCATTTAGCTGAATTTAGCTGATATTTGCTCCCACCGGCGCTCATATTAGAAAGTACAAGCAAGTGACTAGAGGGAGTGTGACAGAGATAATGTTTGATGCTCACATTCACAACTATGGCAGACTTCGATGTTCAGATCAGTTGCATTAAAAGAAACAGCAACAATAGTTCATGCAGAGCCTTTTGTTTTTTAATTTTCATTGTCCTCCTGAAAAATAAACGACGGCATCTATGCCGATTTTTGTGGTCGTGCCGGGTGGATTTTGAATGAATATCCAGCAAAGCTGCAACAGCATCATGGCTCCTCCTCTTGTTTCCTTCTTGTAAATTCACTGGCATTTTATTTGTTTGTTTGGGGTTCTTTTACCCCTCAGGTAGAACAATGGTGCAGTAATCAGCACGGACACCTTATAGCAAGGTTCTGTGTTTAAATCTTTGTATTTATTTCTGGATAACACAATAGTGTCATTTTATGTCTGCCATAATGTTCCACACAACAGAAAATATTAATATAAGACAAACTCGTGAATGAATAGGTCACAGTAGTACAGCTTGAGCTTTATTTTGGGCAGCTCTCTCTGTATTTTTATGTTTGCTACAAGCTGGCCAATAATTCCCCAAGATGTGGGTGGAGGGACAACAAGTTATTTCTTTGACATACACTAAGGCCCTGTAATAAGATGGGCATGTCAGCAGCTGAAAGTTGTGTTACTTTTTCTGGCTTTTTTGAACTCTGGTTTAATTTGGCAGATGTTAAGCTGCTGGACTGCAGTGACAATCAGCTGACTGAGATTCCTGAAAGCCTATCGGAGATGCTCGCTCTGGAGCAGCTTTACCTTAGACATAACAAGCTCCGCTTCCTCCCAAAGCTCCCCGCACCTGCACTCAAGGTATTAACAGCAAAATGATGTTCCAGGAATTAAAACTCCTTTGTGGTGTGAGTGAAGCTGACGGTATTAGAGCAATGACCAAATCGCTCTGCGCTCTGTATTGTGTCTGAGACATGCTTCTGTGCATCCATTACTCTGGCAGTGCAGAAAGATGTAACTGTGTGTGTGCGTGTGTGCGTGTGTGTGTGTCTGTGTGTGTGTGTGTGTAGGAGTTATATGTGGGGAACAACCAAATTGAGCAGTTGCAGACGGAGCAGCTATCCTGCCTGACAGCCATCTCTCTTCTGGAACTCAGAAACAACAAGATCAAAATAGTCCCTGAAGAGATCACTTTACTGAGTACGCTAACGCGCCTTGACCTCACCAACAATGACATTACCAGGTAAGCTTTCAGTATGATGACACACTGCTCAGTAAACCTTTTATACCTGCAAGCAGCCAGGATGCGACTGAATTCAGCTGGAAGGAAATATAATCACTGCTCTACACTGAGAGCAGCTGCATCAAGTTTCTAGTGCCATTAGTCTGAATTAATGCCTAATTTGTATTTTATTCTCGTTTTCTTTATTTCAAGTATTTCTTGATGTTATATCTGAAAAGTGTCCACCTTTTCAGAGTAAATCCTAGCAGGTAGATTTTCATACAAATAATATTTTGTGTCCTGTCAGCCTTCCAGCGTCACTCAGCCTGCTGCCCAATCTGAACGTGCTGCTGTTGGAGGGAAACCCTCTGCGAGGAATCAGGAGAGACATCCTCTCTGTAGGTGACACATGAGGACTCAAATACAGAGTATGCATGGTAAAACAGAGGAAAGGAAGAGAGAAAGGAAACGTGGCAGCTGAATATGTAAAAACACTGAAATCTACATTTACAAGATTATATGGAGAAGTTGTAATACAACGTGAATTCCAGAAAAGTTGGAATGTTCTTTAAATTTAAAAACTAAAAGACTTTTAAATCACATTAAATATTATTATCTTTGAGTAATTCATTATCTGCAGTACATAATATCAAGAAAATATTCAGAGAATCTGGAGAAACGTTGTCTTTTCTTACAGAAAGGAACCAGTGAGCTTCTGAAGTATTTGAGAGGAAGAGTTAAAGGTAAAGTGGTTTTTTGCCCTACCTGTATATGTAATGGGATACTAACTAGTAGTTATGCTATATAAATGAAGGTGCTAACACCTTACTAAAACCTTAATAATGCTTAGTAGTGTGATGGTATTGCTATCAATGCTTTAGTTCTTCTTGTCCTGGGTGCAAATCTACAGATTCTGCTGTCCTTACATGATCTTTTGTCTGTTTTTTGTAGAGGAGCCTGACAAAACAGATGGAGGAGATACAGCTATGATGTTACCCAGCCAGGCCAGGGTCAATGTGCATGACATTAAAACTCTCAAGCTGTTGGCATACAGGTTAGTTATATAGACTGGTTTCTGCATTTCCACAGGAATGTGCATGTACTCCGTCAGGGAATCAGAAAACTATACTCACCAGGCTCTTTGTGCTGGTTTTTGTCTTTGCTTTGTGCTGTTGGATTTGTCTTCATACCTAAATACTAAGAGAAAGCTCATATGTGTCTTCATCCGGATAGGGGTTTGTGTTGGTGTGTGGGACTTTAGCCTCAGGCTTATAGTGTTAAATGGTGATTACAGGTCATTTTATGGAGAAACACAAAAGTAATGTAACGAGTAGTTACATTACTTTACATTACTAGGTTTATATCTGGGACTCTCCACCATTTGACCTTAGAACTGAAGAAGCGTCTCGGATGAGAGGTGAAACGTCTTCAAGCAACTTAAAGAAGTCCAGATGCTTTTCTTTGCAAGCTCCTTAGACTGTAACGAGTAGCGTAACAAATGACTGACTCGTGGGAGTAATTAAGTAACGTACGCCATTACTTTTAATCTTCTGTGTAATAATTACTGTTTTGGAGTAATGACCCAACACTGATCCCAACAAAGAGGAGAAATACCCCCAACATGCACAAACATTTGACCACATCATGCAATGAATTTGCAGAATGTAAAGTCTGTGATATGCAGTTTAGTTATGGTGGTAGCTCACAAAGTAGAGCCAATAGCAATCGATGCGAGAATGAATAGTTAATCAAGTGGACAAGGGATCGAGACAATGGAATTGCTAAATTCTTATCAATTCCCATGCCTAATAATTATTGGTTATTACAGTATATTTACGCTAAATACTCCAATGTGAATGTGTTTGTGACCAGTGACAAGCAAGCAGGGAGTATCCCAGAGGAGCTGTTTGATGGTGCAGCTGGTCAGAGCATTGCCACAGTTAACTTCAGCAAAAACCAGCTGACTTCAGTTCCTCCCAGGTACACGCACACTCCCTCGCTCTCTTTCTTTCACACACAGAGCATCACTGTGTGACAGACGGTAAAGCCCCAACAAAAAGCCATTTTAATGCAGATGATTGCAGGCTAATCACACTTCTGTCTGCAGGCTGGTGGAATTCCAATCTTCGCTGTCAGAAGTCAATCTGGGTTTCAATAGACTGATCAGCTGTTCACCTGACATCTGCAAGTTACTCCAGCTTACACACATCGATCTCCGGTACGCAGACACAGCCGACACTCGGATATGGACAGAATCTATTTCAGGAAGCTCCCATTTATTATATAATATGCAAATTTTGAGTCCAAAGTACAGAAAGGACAGAAATCCACCGCATCATTCATGTGTGTTTGTGTGTTCTTTTGCTTTTGTTTTATTTTTGCCTTTCCAAATCAGACACCACATCATTGCAAACCACTGCCAAAATTTTAGCTCTGGAGTCTCCCGTCCTGTCCTGTTTAAATTAAGCTATAATCTGACATTACATAATAATGGGTGTTGTTTTTAGTACTAGTCAGTAAGATGTATGAAACCTCTGAAAAGGGAAGGGTCAGGTGTTAATATTTTATGCTGTATTTGTTTCTTTCGTTTGTTTTAGGAATAATCAGCTGAGTGATTTACCGTCTGAAATGCAGAACTTAACTAAACTACGTTCCATTATCCTCGTTTACAACAGGTAACTTAACTCCACATTGCAGCCCCATCATCCAGCATTTTTCAACACACCCCGCACACACATACGCAGCTGCTCGAGGGAGCAGCCACAGCAGTCCCAGCGCCTTACTTGGATTCCTCCTTGATGTCTGATCAGCTCTGAGGCGATCCTGACATGGCTTGCACATTACTCCATAAAGCACTTCAGTGCTGTTAGCTTGTAATGTTGTGTGTTGTGATGTTCCATATACAGCTTGTGATCCATTGCAAGACCTTCCCTTGACTGACCTTTCTGAGCACCACATCTAAGCACTAAATAAAGAAGAGTGTGCAGGATGGAAAGATGGAACTCAGTGGGATGTGATCTAAACCTCTGCCCTTAGCAGCTTAGCATGAAGCATCCACTGTTGTCTTACTCGATCTGATTCCACAAGGGATGTCAGCTGACATGTTGATTCCTGCCTACAGTATGTTGTACAGTTTGGACCTCAGAATATGATGCTGTGCATTGAAAATGAAGTTAATCACAGACCAAACAATGATCCTCTGCTCTCATGAAACTAATAAGAAAAATGTTATCGTCATGGTCTTAGCTACAAATCGCTTCACGTTGTTGTCACGGAGTACAGCCTCCTCGCTTTGTGGCTCATAAACCGTAGGTAATGGAGCACATGTACAGTGGTTCAGTAAGTTGGCCTGTCTGACCTGTGTTTGTGTACTCGGTGTATTTCTGTTGCTCACAGGTTCAAATCCTTCCCTGACGTCCTGTATGAGACCCTTTCTCTGGAGACTATATTGCTTGCTAATAACCAGGTGTGTGAGGTGGATCCTAGTCGCCTGATGAAATTGACTCATCTGTCAACACTAGATCTGGCAAACAATGACCTGCTCAACATCCCTCCTGAACTGGGCCTGTGTACCAGCCTCAGGTAAGGACCTTACTCATTATTTATTTTATTTTTTTAAGTGAGATCACTTTATCCTGCTGGATAAAACAGATGCTGACAACGTTTATCATTGAGGACAGAATTTGAAGTTATAAATGACAATATATGCTTCTGTCAGCATGTCACAAAATGCTAAATGGCAATAATATCGTGCCATGAGTGAAGTATCGTGATAATATCATATCATGGGCTGTCTGCTGATTCCCACCTCTATACCATAAGTGCATCTACTTAAAATCGCAGCCGAGTTTGGAAACTGTGTAAATTCCTGTAAGATGTACAATAAATTCCTCACGAAATGAGTTGAATTTGGTGTTGTTCCTCAGGTGTCTGAGTCTGGAGGGAAATCCTTTCCGCACACCCAGAGCAGCAATTGTGGCCAAAGGAACAGATGCACTGATGGAGTATCTGCGCAGCCGCATACCAACGTGATTTGTGACCATGTTTGGAGGAGAGCACCACCACCGTGATCAAGACGTTTAAATGCAATCTTTTTTTACATTTTTTCACACATCTATGAAAAATGGTGCAGACTGCTTTTTGAAGATGTTAAGGGTAATAAAATAAAACCATTGATCTGTTTTTCTTTTTTCCATGGATGCGAGTCAGAATAGGATTTATATTGTTCGCTATTCTGCAGGCAGCACTTCTCCAAATAAAGTTGTTTGGCTAATTGTGACTGGTGTGACTTTCGTAACATATTAAGTACAGCCCACTAAAAGTATGAAAACTAAAAAGTGCTGTTTATCTGAGCTCTGCATAGAGTTTATAGAACGTCTATACACACTACAGTCCATTTGAAAGGTTTTAGGTCCACTTTTCGGTCATGTTGTCAGATCAGTTCTTTTTCCCTCATTAATCACAGTTACATAACAGAAAACACCTTTCAGTGTAAATTCATTTATAAAAACATAGCTGATATGTCCAATATAGTCATTTTTACCCTTCAGCTGTAAAAGACTGATAGGTATTGTTGTCACCCTGCCAGGACCGCGTGTAATGTTGACATCCAAGTTTATGAACACAATAACTTGAGAAAGACTTTCGATTGATTCCATAGAGACCTTGGTCAAGGTTAGAAGCCAAGTGTTCTGAAAATCTTGTGAATATGATAAGAAGGTGGTCAGAATTTTGAAAATGATAAGATAGGTTTGTCTACTAGGAGGCTGACAACACTGTCGAGAAAGGTGGGACAGAGAGAGATCAAGTCCCCCTGACATCACATCTGATTGGGGGTAAAAGGTCTTAACATCCAGCCTCATGTTTAAAATGATCATAGTGCTAAAACAGAGCTTCTAGTAAATCATTGATTTTGATGGTCTGAGAGCAGAGAGTCTCTATGGGGATGCGGTTTGTGGAGGATGACAGAAAACGAGAATCTGCAGAGAGGTGTGTAAGACTGCAACTCTACTTCCTGGTCCCAGCTCTGGATAGTCATGTTTTTGGGAATTTGATACATTTGTTCAGATTTCTAGGAATGAGAGCTGCGCCATCCATAGTGGGATAGATTCCATCTCCCCAGCCACCTCCTCCAAGATTTGGGGGGACACCAAGATGTTCTCAGACCAGCCAAGTGCTCTGGGTCTTCAACCAGGGAAGCATCCTTGTCAGATATCCTGAACACCTCAACTGGTTTGTTTCAGTGTGGAGGAGCAGCAGCTCTACTTTGAGGCTCAGCCACCCTTCTTCTGCAGGACCATTGGGGTCATGTGTTGGTCAGCAGTGAAGGATGGATGTCCTGGAGGTGTGTTTCCTGACTTTTGAGGCTAGCTACTCTGATATTTTTTTAAATGCTCAGCAGCCTGGCTTATTAATAAATTACCAAAATAATAACACTTAATATACCAGCTTTCATGTCATGAGCACAACCAGAAGGAGTGTTTTGCGACTTCCTGGTTGTCCAAACTTCTTTTTTAATTAAAGAAGAATCAGTCCAAATCTAAAAACAAAATCAAATGAATTTATTATTCAACCAAATTGCACAGACATTTAAAAAAAATGATAATCTGGCCATGACAGACACACAGATAGAGACACATGGACAAGAGAAACTACGACTTTGGAATCTCATAGTAACTACCACTAATATATCCCCAGCACTGGGGGAAGAGCCGAGTTATTTTAACACTCCCATGCAACTACAGGTCAACACACAACTTCTAGCATCCTATACGTCTTAGAAAAACAGAAAAAAGGTAGTTGCAGTACGTGTGTGTGTGTGTGTGCGCTGTTGGAATGACAGGCTGGTTGTTGGTCGAGACCGAGTATGGATGGTTGATGTTGAACGTGGATCTAAAAGTCTTCAGAGCACCACTGTATACCCACTTTTGCAAAATGGCCAAACTCCTTACAATATTTACAAAAATATAAAATGTAAATAAAAATACAAACAAATTTTCTTTTTAAACACATTTTTGTTACGAAAGGAGGACTGAGGTGTAGAAGGTTTGCTGGCTGTCTTTCAACAGTGTCGTCCTCCGTGCAGAGTGGGCGCTGCAGACACTACTGATCTGTCTTCTGCTTCTTGCTTTCAACCTCATCCTGAAAACCGAGAAGATCGAGGTTAGAGGTGATGCTGCACAAAAATACAACACCGCTATTGATGTTTTGTTATCCCCCTTTTCACAAGTAAAAATGAATGTTTGCCAGCAGGTTAACAAAACATATTTCAAAGACCTGCACTGAACTTTTCTATCCCTCACTAAAAAACGTTTCAGGTAAAGATAACATCCATCCAGATACGTGTTAAACAGGACATTGTTTTATGTTTTTATTATCATTATTATTATTATAATTATTATTTAAAGGAATCTTAGATAACTGTTGGATTATGCACTGTAAATCTGTAGGGTTTTTATAATTTGAAACTATACAGAAAACTGAGCTAAAGTTTCAAATATATGATATTTTGAATATCAAATCTGGGTTCAGGATAAATAACACTGAAGCCCTTCAGTGTGACTGATCTGCTGTAACCCTAACTGTTCTTGCTGTTTTTAGCATAAAAAGCTGCTCCTGTAAGCTGGACACATCCTCACATCGTCGTCATCATCGTCATCAGCTGCTCTCTTCCCCCTCGGTCCATCAATGTCATCTTCTTCATCGTCCTCCTCGTCACCTGAATACAAAAAGATAAAGCTAGTTAGAATGAAACAGTAGAACAAATCGAGGCTTCAGTTCAGTGTTCTTCACCCCACCTGGATCACACTGTGACTGCTGTGACTTCTAAACAGATGTCTTGTCAAACTCTATCAATAAATAATGCAGACAAGTTTCTATCTACTTACATGAATAATTGGTCTTATGTGTAGTTATCCATCGTGTGTATGATTCATAATTTGGATATGTAGCAAACCCTTGACCTTCTCTCAATAAGCTTCACGATGTAGTCACCTGAAATGGTTTTCACCTCACAGCTGTGCCTTGTCAGGATTCATTTGTGGAATTTCTTGCCTCCTTAATGGGGTTGGGACCATCAGTTGTGTTGTGCAGAAGTTAGCTTGCTACACAGCTGAGAGCCCTATTTGACTACTTCATATTATGGCATGAACCAATCCGCTAAGTACAGAGAAACAACAGTCCATCGTTGCTTTAAGAACTAAAGGTCAGTCAATCTGGAAAATTGCTAAAACTTTGAATCTGTCCCCAAGTGCAGCCGTAAAACTATCAAGCACTATGACTAAACTGGCTTCCATGAGAACCTCCCCAGGAAAGGAAGACCAAGAGTCACCTCTGCTGCTGAGGGTATATATTTCTGAGTCACCAGCCTCAGAAATTGCAAGCACCTCATATTAGAGCCCAGATAGAGAGACTGCAGGTATCAGGCCTTTATGGCCAAATAGCTGCTACAAAACCACCACTCAGGAAAAGCAACAAGCAGAAGAGATCTGTATGGGCCAAAAACAAGAAGGAATGGCCATTACACCAGTGGAAATCTCTGCTTTGGTCTGATGAGTCCAAATTTGAGATCTTTGGTTCCAACCATCGTGTCTTTGTGTGACACAGAAAAGGTTGAATCCTCACCCTATCTCTCTTAGAGATAGGGTGAGGATCTGTGATCTCATTCTTTTGGTCACTACAGCTTGTGACTGTGGGTGAGGGTAGGGACGTGGTTGACCAGTAAATTACAGACCCAATATCTGATTTACAAACATGAGGACTGAAAATTTCCAGTTTATCAAACACCGCTGAGCAGTCCTTACCTTTAAATCTAACCTTTCCTCTTTCATATCTTTCTCCATCTCGGAGTGAAGTTAGCTCTCTTTCTTTTCTCTCCCTGTGTAATACAGCAGCTGAACCTTTAGCTAGCAACACACTGTGGGACAAGCTGCACACAAGCATCTGTGTTTGCTGATGTTTGTTGAGCTCAAAAACATTCAAAAATGTTGGGAGGTGTTACAAAAATCCAAACTCCTAAAATGACCCCAACAGTAAAAACAACGCCACGTCTGCTTTTTCCTCTCACCTCTGCATTATATTGATTGACATGTTCTGTTGTTGTTCTGTTTCATCACCTCTTTGCTCAGCATGACATAAAAAAAACCTACCTTCTCTATCCTCCTCCTCTTCGTCGCCCACATCCTCCTCATCCTCCTCTACCTCATTGTCTTCCTCACCATTTTCCTTTTCCTGACACGGTGAGACAGATTTATGTTGGTCACCAGTAACACACAAGGACTATCCACGTCCTAAAAGGTGCGAGAGGCGTTAACAGGAGCTGTTCTTACATTTTTGCCATTGGCAGCAGAGTCTTCTCCATTCTCTGTCTCTTCAGTCTGTTTCTTCTCCTTCAGCTCCTGAAACAAAACATATTCTCAGACATGCTGGCCCAATTTTATGAATGCAGGAAGAGCACATGATTAAACGAGATGACCTAATGACCAAGTGTGATCTCAGCATAACTCACTTTATGGTTTCAGAAAATTTTTTAGGAAAGATTATTTAGTTTAGAAAGAGAAAATTGAGCAAAAATGAGAAAAAGGTAAATTGCATTGTTTTAAAGTTTAACTAAATACGACATCTGTCAAAAAACTAATGTAGTTTTTTAAAGAAAACATTTTCTTAAATGCAAAAATAGATAAATGATCTAAAGTACTGTAATGTCAAATGATATAAGGTATACATGCAACATAATACATAAAATAAAACTGCCTCTTACGTTAACAGTGGGAAAAGGTTCTGACAGTGTTGCATCTGCTGGATGACATAGATTAGGTATGTGTTTATGAGTATGTGACTTTGTGCAGGTGTGTGTCTGCATGTTTACATGTGCAAAATGATTGAGTGAGTTTGTGTCTTTAAGCCTTTAAAGGAGCATGTGGTAGCAGCGGTGAAGAAAAGTGAGCATATGCACATTCTGAAGATTTTGTCCTGCTGAACACAAACGTTATGATGCTGCACATGTTAATAATTAATGTCAGTAATCATTTGGTGCAACGTAACAGCCCCAGGCCAGTGGCTCATGATCCACAACATTTTTATTAGTCTGTGGTGAAAACAAGCTTTTCATTTTATATTTTTAAATATTAAAACAATTTCATTAACACAATATTTTATAATATTTCACTTTAAATCTGAAAAATAATGTTACAAAAGCTTCAAATAAATACTGTCTAGTTCACCTCATGGCCCCCTTTAGACTCAGGTGTTGCAGTTGCAGCCTAATCTAAACGTGGTATCAGACTAAGTGAACAGTTCATCTGCATATTTTAATGTAGCCGTACGTCTGTAGCTTAACTGTAGATTTGTTGCTGTGTAGAACAAAGAGCCGTGGATGGAGCAGCTACAGGGTTTGCTTTTCTTTACATTGGAGTTTGTTGATCAGGTTCTTTGATGACGGGCTCCTGCCAGCTTTACCCACTGAAGGTTTTAATGGTCATTACAGCTAGAAAAAAGTTTTCACTCCAGCTGAGCTCAATGTGTCGTCTCCTCTTTGCCCTTTGTAGTGCACAGTGTAGACAGACGTCAAGCCAACGTTAACATGTGACATTATCATCACTGCTTCTGTTGTGTTACCAGGCTTTCTGTTGAAACACTGGGCTCTGCGTGGGCTTTATGTTGTCGTACTTTTTACTCACATGCATGCTTCTAAATACGTTTCTATTGCAGGTCTATTTTTTGTTACAAATGTGGGCGAGCGTTACAGTACGGAGGAGTATTTTTGTTTTCTTTTGTTTCTTTTAAACAAAATGTGCAGATTACAGTTGTTTACAGGCTAGCTTCCACAGCTCCTATACCCTCTACAAAATGTCTTGTGTGGTTGAGTTAGTGAAACAAATTGATCGACCATCTTGTGACACAACCTACATCCTCTGTATTGCACATGGTGTAACCATCGATATCCTTGCACCTGTCCACTGCAGCCACTTCTTTTTTACAAATCTGTCCAACTCTTCCCTGACCAGATGCAGCTTTCTGCACCATCTTTTCAACATTGGAGTGGATAGACTGTAAAATCTAATTAGTTCACAAAACTTAAAAATTCAATCAAATATGCAAACTTGTTGCCTAAAAAAAAAAAAAGAAAAAAAGAAAGAAAAACATACAAAAAGCTTATTTAAAATAACCAAGTTAGGGCAACTTATTAATTATGAGTACATTGGTCATAATTAGTTCTTACAGAGTTTTAAAAAAAAATGCAAGCTCGTTGCCTCAAAAAAGAAATAAGCGTACTTAAGATCACCAACTTAGGACAGCTTCTTCATTGTGAGTACACAGCACTAAGAATATCTTGGATTGGATTTTCTGAACAATAGTAAATGTTTGGTCAATGACAAACATTTCAAGATCAATTATATTTAAAAAAAAAAAAACTTCTGAAAAAAAGAATTGTGGTAAGTTACTATTTTTAATTTGTCTACATACAAACTGAATGCAACTAAAATCACATTGCTTTTTATATTCCTTGAGTTTAAGAGATTTCTAGTTCAACAACACTCAGATATAAACACTGTAAGAATAATTAAAAACACTTCTCGTAATGTAGTTAAAATCAGCCCAACTTTTATTTTCAAACGCAAAAAAGTATATCAGCCAACATACTGGACACTGTTCTGCTGAACAACAAGCAAGTATACTGCCGCTATAGTAGCCTGTGTTATTGAATTTTATTTTAAATATTACCAAATGTAAATTTCATATTTATTTGTTACACAATTTAAAGCTTTAATAACCGTATAATGAAACAAAGTCCTAGTTTCAATTTCTGTCTATCTATCTAATGTTCAGTGTAGTCTGTAGCTCTAACACCACATTTGTTTTGCATTTAAACACACAAGCTTGTAATACTTTAAGGATGTGAAGGTCCTGGCATTACTTTCAAAATGACTGTCATAGATTTAGGTGATTCAAATATAAGTGCCTGAAGAAAGTCTTTAACATTGTCCCAACATCCCCGTACAGTGGCAGTGGATGTGGGTTGGAGATCCAATGACCTTGAAGATGCAGGTGACCATCTTCACTGACCACACCATCTGTGACGGAGGACTCATCTCTCCTTGC